AGAGAGAGAGAGCAGTACATACTTTAAGCACTAGAGAGCACTGTAGACTACATCATCTACATCAGATCATGATCAGATCTCCTCATGGATTGAATATGCCTTCTGCCCGGATTTACTTTCTTTCATTCTATCGCTCAGTATAATCTCTTTAACCTACAGTATAAACAACATAAGAGCCTCATGAGTTAATTGATTGGATTAGTATCATACTTTGACTGGTATCTTACGCTGGACTTGAGCCTAATCCATGATCAACTGATTCATTAGCAGAACACAATTCCTGAATATACATGACATTTGTATATGTATATGCTCACTAGTGCTGCTTTTATTTGATTCTATTTGAATATATTTTAAAATGTAATTCATTCCTGTGATGCAAAGCTGAATTTTCAGCATCATTACTCCACTCTTCAGTGTCACATGATCCTTGAGATATCATTCTAATATGCTGATTTGCTGCTCAAGAAACATTTATTATTATCTGTGTTGGAAACACTTGTGCTGCATATTATTTAGAAACCAGAACCATTGATGAATAGAAAGTTCAACAGAACAGCATCTTTCTTTCAGAAATGCCAAAGCAAAGCCAGATCTCTAGCATGCAGGTACAGTACACATGCAGCTACTAAGTTTCTCTCACACACATACTATATATACTCACACATGCATCATCTACTATCTCTAAACTCAGACTGCCAGTGCAGCTGATCGCCACACACAGGGCTAAATTTACTGTTTCTCAGTATAGCACTTGATTCTGCTAAAGCCTGTGTTAGTGAGCAAGAGCTGCGGATTTAAAGGTGCGATAGGTGATTGTCTTCAGAAAATTGTTTTGCTATGATGGTTGAAAGTCTCGGTCCGAGCGTTTTAATATGCTTTCCTACCTGCCTGTCAACGTATTATCATACCTCTGCGCACCGGGTTCGCGCAGACAGGATACGTCATCAGCGCGTTCACGCACGCTGCGCAGACAGAGCGATAATGGCAGACAAACATCAACATCCCGATCATCCTTCCTGGTATTGTAGTACTTTTACTAACTGTAGTATAAAGTTTTCTCACTGGTGAATGATACATGAAGTAGCCCAGCGGTTCCCAATTCCAGTCCTCACCACCCCTCCTGCATATTTTTCAAGTCTCGCTTAGTTAACCTGATTCAGATAACCAGCTCTTTAGAAGAGAGCTACATGCATGAACTGTGTTCCAGGAAGGGCGCGAGGACTGGAATTGGGAACCGCTGATGTAGCCTATTGTAGTAATGTTGACTCTGGTATTCTGGTCTGTGAGCGTAAATGCGTTAAGGGGCGTGGCTTTGGACAGCGATTGCAGGGAGGGTGGGACGTTCGCTTTCAGTGCTATCAGGCTAAAGTTAGCATTTTCCAAGATCTCCTACTGCACCTTCAAATGTGCATCGTCAACACAATTATTGTGCAATGACATGCAGTGATAAATAATACTAACCACAGTCAGATTTGGCCAAACCATTCTCATTCAAAATCATGCCTGTCCACTTTTATTTGTTACATCATGCATCCAAAGGTCAAGCTCTGGTTCATCAGTTCTTTTGGATCAGTTTGTGTCCAATCTGTACCCTCCTATCAGAGATGACACACACACACACAAGAACACACTCTCCTTTCCCTTGACAACGCCTTAAATGGCATTTGAACGTGTTTGCAGGGAGAGAGAGAGAGAGAGAGCGAGGGAGATGTCTCCTGGGTTGCCTAGCAGGCTTACTAACTCAAAAATAAACCGAGCCACCCTGGCTTGCTTAGATATGACTGAGAACAAACACACACACAAACACACAATAGCTCAAGACCAGCAGGCTGCTAAAACAAACACTCAATAAATAGCCTTTCAAAACAAGTGTCATGGTGTCACCGTAAAATATACCATGAAAATACAACATTTTTTGGAAACTCTCATGATTTGAATGTGTGTCATGGTGTCATTAAAGTGCCATGGTATTACCATCACTAAACCATGGTATAACCACAGTACTATTTTCAAAGAAAAATACACACAGATTTACAGCTGACCTATCTAGATGAGCATCTGATCTGCATATCACCATATAAGGCAAAGGCTTACTAGAGATGCACATTACAGTGTATCGGTTATCGGTTAGCAGTTATCAGCCGATATTACAGATAAATTGGATATTTAATTGTGCATTTATTTTTACATTTTAAATATATTTGCTGTCATTTAACACTCACTAAGGTTCTTCCTTAAAAACACTAATAATTTCATACCTGTCAAATGTAATCTTTAACAAATCTCAAAATTTTGATGAAATAATATGGAATTTAGTTAAAATATTGGTAAAATATTGGTGGTAGTGCACAAATTTAATATTGGTGCATCCTAACCTTTATGCAGAAGTATAGTATTTTATCATGTTTTAATCTGATATAACACTAACAAACACCACATTTTACCATTTATGATTTGGAAATACTAGTACCATAGCAATACACTTACCAATACCAAAAAGTATTAAAAACGACCACAATAATGATTGGAATAACCTTTGAGTAACATGCAAACATCATTAAATATGAATACCATAGTACTATATATTAAAGTGCCATGATACCACTATCTAATACTATATCACTTCACCTTGGTACTGCCATGGCATGATTTCTCTAGACATGTATCATGGTAATACCATGTTTTTAATACAAGTACAATGGTAGTTTTCTGGTTTAATATACTGCATCATGGTATTCTTAAATACTATGCTATAAAATATGGTTGTCAAACAGTACTATGGTATTACAACCAGATACCTTCACTATACCATGGTGCAATGTCTTTTGTAAGAGGAATATAATGTACACACACAGTTTTATTGCTGATACATAAGTTATCAGCAGAGCCATAAGATGCAAAACATCAGATATCCTGCAGTAGTCTATGACAATACAATGAACCATGCCTTAAATAAGCATTACCAGGGTATCATGTCCAAAAAACCATGGTAATACCATCTTGTGCTACTTTTTTTTTTGCTGGCACTTGATTACTCATATATATATATATGCCATTTGATTAGACTAGATAGATAGATAGATAGATAGATAGATAGATAGATAGATAGAAGACTTAGCTCAACCTAAACTCAACCTCACACCACTGAACAACACACACACATCTTTCTAACCTGTGTGTCCTCTCCACTGTCAGCAGGATGGTAGTTTTTGCCTGTTGCCCACCCGCTCTGAGTCTCGAGGTGGAGGTGAGTGTTGCTCTGCGGGGGACTGGTGAAGCAGGGCCGGGGGGCCACAGCTCGGGTGGGCACCTGCGGGATGGGGAGGGCGCTGTGGATCGGCTTCGGCAGTCCAGACTTCATGTTAGTGACCACCAGGATAGCAGGCATCTTCCCCTGAACCCAGAACCAGTCCACTGTATCCTGCCACACACTGTAGCATCCAGCGTTCTTGAGATATTATTCCCAATTCAGTCCCTATTACAATCTTCAAAAACGAAAGAGCGATCCACCTGTATGTTGACCAGTCCGAGACGCTTTTCCAAAAGCAAATGTGAATACGTTTAGCTCTTAAGGTTTTCCTGAAGTACGTAACCCAACATGGAAAATCCACGGCAGGAAAAATCACAGCATCATGGGAAGGGCAGGAATATAGAAGAGCAGCAAACGTATGACAGCAGCGAATGGTGCTCAGCTGGTGACTGCAGGGATTTGAATGCACTTGTCCATGATCTCTCTCTCTCTCTCTCTCTCTCTCTCTCTCTCGGTTTAAACTCTCAAGCAGGTGTGGCTTTAAGACAGCTAACTAGTGGCTCCTGCTTGACACCAGTATATAAGCACTAGTTTTCTCACAGCTGTGTGGTGCACACTCCCATAAACACACACTCACACACCCCTCCCATCTTCAGAGAGGACGTCAGAACAAATGAGCAGCATGAAGCAGCAGAGGCTGGATATGATTAGCTGGTGTGTATGTGTGTGTTTTGTTGAGCATGGAAGGAACTATGCATGTCTTACATGTGCGAATACTGTAGATTAGAATTGACAGCTTGTGTGTGTGACTCTCTTTCTCTCTGCGTTGTGTGTGTGTGTGTGTGAGAGGGAGAGATGCAGTGTTCTCCATGTTGTGGGCTTTCCTCCAGGCACACTGCACGCACTAGATGTCAAATGAGGCGAAGGCTACTTGCAGGGATTAGTGTGTATCTCATATTTATCTGTTTTTATTCATTACTTCTTTCTCGTAGACTCATTAATCACTGCAGAGATCCACCTCTGTTTCTCTGTCTTTGTTTTTAATGAATTTTAGAATGATAAAGCAGTTTATTGAGACATGGAAGAGCATAAATCCAGCATATAAGAGGTTTTCATTTACATTTCTTTATTTAGCAGACGCTTTTATCCCAAGTGACTTAAATGTGAGTAATACAAGCACAAGTGATTAATCAGGGTAAAACCAAGGGCTGCCGTATCAAATGCCAAAGCTATGAAATATATAAGCTAATATTTTTTTTGACTTTCTATTAATCAAAGAATACTGAAAAAAAAAAAAATAAATAAAATAAATAAATATATATATATATATATATATTTATACATATATTAGAATGATTTCTGCAGGATCATGTGACACTGAAGACTGGAGTAATGACTGCTTTGCAAATTTCAGCTTTGCCATCACAGGAATAAATAAAATTTTAAAACATTAAAAATTTTAATATATCACAGTATTTCTGTTTTACTATATTTTTTAACAAAATAAATGCAGCCTTGATGAGCATAAGAGGCTTCTTTCAAAAACACTTAAGACACATACTAAAAACATATATAAAAATACAGATAATATATAAATACACGTTCTATAGTATTCATCCATCTCCTGGCTTTCTTACTGGGTCCCACCCAGTAATAAGGCAAGCTCCGCCTCTTTATTAAAGGGGTCATATGATGTTGCTAAAAAGAATATTATTTTGTGTATTTGGTGTAATGAAATGTGTTTCTGCGATTTAAGGTTAAAAAAACACATGATTTTCCACATACTATACATTATTGTTGCTCCTCTATGCCCCGCCTTTCTGAAACGCGTCGATTTTTACAAAGCTCATCGTTCTAAAAAATCGAGGTGTGCGCTGATTGGCCAGCAATCTAGTGCGTTGTGATTGGCCAAATTCCTCAAGCATGTGACGGAAATGTTACGCCCCTAACATACTGTGATGCCGTGTCCCGGGGCGACGAGACAAAACCAATAAAACCCATTACAAACAAGGCATTTGTTGCATCCAGTGGGGACATAATTACTGATTATAATGACTTGTACTGTCTTTTTACGCATTGCGTTGCGTATCGCGCCACATAAACATAAAACCATGTCTGCATTTGTGATCTGAGAAAGGACAAACAACAAGCCCTACTCTACACTGCTCAAAACTCACATTTGAATCGTCAGTTGCAAATTCTTTAAATATGAAAACATACTTACAGGCTGTGAGTCAGAAGCGCCAGACTGTCCAACACTCCAGAGAGAAAGAAAACTTGAAATCGCATCATATTTTAACTTTTGGCTACTATATACATTACAGGGTCTGGCTCAGAGACGTTGATGTTGCAATGTTATGAGCTTTGCTGTTAGAAACATAAAAGACAGAGACACCATCTGGTTGAAAACACTAGCTATATATGCATTAACTACAATGCGTCAGCCAATTGCAATGTAATACTCAATTAATGTCCACCTAATGACTTCTGGATCAATATCCTACCATCTGTAGCCTATATCATGACAGTTTATGATCTTAGTTCACTGGCGGGTGAGTAAGAGAGGCATTAACAGTATAGTTCCCCTAAAAATGAGGAATAGTTAAAGGATAGTTCATTTAAAAATAAAAATTATGTCATTTAAAGGGATAGTTCACCCAAAAAAGCAAATTCTGTCATTAATTACTCACCCTCATGTCAGGTCTGTAAGCCCTTCGTTCATCTTCGGAACAAAAATGAAGATATTTTTGATAAAATCCGAGAGCTTTCTGACCCAGCATAGACAGCAACACAACTGACACGTTCAAGATCCAGAAAGGTAGTAAGGACATCGTTAAAATAGTCCATGAGACATCAGTGGTTCATCCTTAATTTTATGAAGCTATACGAGAATACTTTTTGTGAGCAAAGAAAACAAAAATAATGACTTTATTCAACAATTTCTTCTCTTCCATGTCATTGTGCGTGGTGCTGCTAATGCAGGAGCTGGTGTTCTGACGCAGAACGTGTTCCAAAGATGAATGAAGGTCCTACAGGTTTGGAACGACATGAGGGTGAGTAATTAATGACAGAATTTTCATTTTTGGGTGAATTATCCCTTTAAATCATATAAAACCTGTATGGTTTTCTGCAGAACACAAAATATATTTTGAAAAATGTCAAAATAGTGTTTTGTTTGTTTGTTTCTTGTCCATATACTCTTTAGAAATAAAGTTTCCAAAAAGGTGCTTTCAATAGAAGCAATGCAATAGAAGTTTTGCAGAAGTATTTTTGGTTCCCCAAAGAACCTTGCAGTTAACAGTACCTAGAAGAATATTTTTTTTCTTTGAAGAACATTTTTAAGATCTAAAGAACCTTTGTGGAATAGAAAGTTTCAAGGAATTTCAAAGCTCTTTCATGTAAACCATAGATGCCAATAAATAACCTTTTTTTTTTTTTAAGAGTGTACAATGAAATTCAATGGGGTCTAGTGCTGTTTTGGACTCCATTGACTTTCATTGTATAGACAAAAATAGTCAAACATTCTTCAAAATATCTTTTTTATGCTAAGAAATTCATACAGATTTTGTACAACATCTCTGAAAGATACAACCCTTGACCTGAACGATTTTGATTTACAAAGTCCAAACATAATCTCAAATGATATAATCATAAAGGATCTTAGAATCTTTAATTTAATTTCCCTGACTTCCCAGCATCGACAAACCTAGTTATTTGCCACCACACCCAAGTGCAAACAGTTGCATTTCAGGAAACTATGACCGCAGACAATGGACGCTACCCGAGAATGACGCTGCTGCCCATTATAATTAGACTTTAACATACTGACACTGTCCAGTCCAACACAACATTTCAAATTCAGGTTAATGGATTGGTGGAGACGCTCACTCATAATCACACTGACAAGAGTTCAGTCATTTGTGAAATGAAAGGGAGTGAAGTAATGAGAAGATTGGGGTCTCGAGAGAGTGTTGATGTCCTCATGTCTTCCCAGATCAACACGCTGTGTGCCTCCTAAAGCCGCCACACACACATAATCCTGTTACCCATAATGCAAATCTGCATGCTTTCTGCATTTCTGTGCACAGAGTACATAAAACAATTATATAAATTTGAGTACATAATCTTACTAGGTGTATGCAATGCAAAGAGAAGTGCAACTAGAAGAACAAAATGCAGATCTGAACAGCTGAATAAATGAGATCAAAATGAGAAATCATCTTCCAGCAGTGGTCTCTTTTGAAGGCCATCCTTTTGAGTCATTGCCAAGGCAACCTCTGTTTGTGTTCTGCTAGGTAATTCAAGAGCAGTCACTGTCATTTCACCACATCTGTCAGTGAGGCACAAGAATAATATCCAATAACACAGTGACGACCGGCTCCACTGAGGATTATGGTGGAAATCGTGTAATTAAAGTCTGATTGACAGCTTTTATCAGGTCTGTAATATCACGGGTTGGCTGAATGGAGTTCTCGCACACACACACACACACACACACACACACACACACACACACACACACACACACACACTTCATAATGAGAGCAACTTTTGAAAGCAGCTTTGTAGTTGCAGGTTGACATTTTCAGTCCAATCTATTTTTGAACCCTGAAAAGCACTTGAGACAATATTAAACCCTTGAGATCTGCAACATTTCAATTACAATAACATCCTGAAGCTAATCAAGGTAGGACTTTCCTTGAAAAAAAAAAATTAAAAGAGTAAAGCCACACACCTGATAATATATATATAAAAGACATGCTATTTAAAATCTTGAAGCTCTTTCATGCTTCACCAAATAGTCTGTTGTTCACGGAGAATTCAAGTAACTCAATGGCTAAATTGTAGTTAAATAAACAAAGATAATAAAAAATGGGAAAAAATGCAACTATGAAAAAATTTAAAGGATGAAATAAATAAATAAATAAAACACTGACATGTTAAAAAGTCCTTGTCCTTGTAAGTCCTTGAAATTTTTTCTCTCTTCCTAAAATAAATAATATACAAAAAAAAAATGCAAAAATACGATGCAAAAAAAGGAATATAAATAAATCTGAAACTTTAGTATGTATCACTCATAAATGTCAGTTATTAAAAAAGGGTCAGGATTTCTTCAGATCCCTTTTTAAATATTTTTATTGCTTTATTTTAATCTTTGCTTGAGGGCAAACAGTACATCTAAGACCTGATAAAAACAAGTGGAGATGCTAGCTTGCTATACCACACCTCTCTTCCTATAGTCAAAGTTTAACACTTTACTTACTTCAGATCACTCTGAACCCTGAGTATGAGCGATAGCCACATTCATACTTGACAAAGCAACACCACTAATAAGCACACCACACAGTCAGTAAATGTGAAGTACGTTTAATAATCCATTAATCCAACTGTGTGCAGAGACATTTTGATTGCAACAGCAAATTATTTTATACTTACAACACACAGTTGTG